TCTGGCACAGCAAGACGTTCCAGGCTCATCTCGTACTTTCTTGCACTGGCCGTGAGAGTCCTGGTTCCTTGCAGAGGCTAATGATATTTAGAAACTCAGATCCAGGAGGTTAGGTGTGCTCATTGGTGTTGGAGTGTCCCTCAGGCCTTCTTGGGGGACAGAGTAAAGAAATATATACGTGTATGTTTACATATGGGTATGTGTACACATAGAATTGCATTCATACTTACGTATTTATTTATCTATTTATTAAAAATACCAAGTTCACACAGATACCACAAATTCAAACACCTTAGGATTCACTTCAGTTTTTTTTTTTTTCCTTTTTATAATTGTGGCTCTCCTCTCTGCCACCAGGAATCCTGGCTGTAGTCATCTTGAACATATTTCCTTAATTGATAAATCTCCCCATGTGTAACCAATCTTCTGCTGCTGCCATCGCTCCTTCCTGGCATGGATGCCCTCCTCATGCAATTTGGTCTCTAGCCTGTGCTGGGCTGTCCTCTGCCCTAAGGCAGAAGCCCTCCCCACTCTTCAGGTCTTCACACTCCATGCTCACCGTCTCATGCTGCCCACGCTCCTCATCCCAGTGGAGCCTCCACACACCATGCTGGGGTTCAGGCCTGGCCGTCCTCTCATGCCTCCGTCACAGCCTCAGCCTCGATATACTGTTGGTCTCCAGTACCCCTGCAGGCCACTGCATCTCCCCTCTGCTCTAGCATGGGTGCCTACTCTTCTAGGTCTCCCTAATGGTTTGTGGATTGAATAGTTAAACAGGGAAAAAAGCAGGAAGGAAGGGGGAAGGAAGGGGAAGAAAAAGAGAAAGGAGAAGAAGAAAGGAGGAAGAGGAAGAAGAGGAGGAGGATAAAGAAAAGGAGGAGGAGCGAGGAGAAGGAGGAGAATGGGGAGAGGGAAGGAGAAGGAGAAGAGAAGAAGAAGAAGTAGTGAAGGAGGAAGAGAAGATGAATAGAGTGGTTCTTGGATCCTGAATTGCAGAGGGTGGGCCCTTCCCTTTGCTCCAGTGAAGAGGTAAAGGCTGCCGCCTGGCAAATGGTGGGATGTGCGAAGGCCTCGCTAGCCAGGCAACCTGTATGTTGGCACATTAAGGTAAAGTGCAGTGGGGATGGAGGCTGCTTTTGGGTAAAATGTAGATTATCCCATTCTGAGGCACATTAACGAAGTGCTAATTGTGCTTTCTGAATGCAATTTGGTGCCAGTTGCAGGAATAACTCTGGCACCTGCTTGGACTTTAGACTTGCAGATTAACTCACATGGAAAAAGTAGAAAAACAGGGAATAATTTGTTCTCTAATAAGCCACTTAGAAGCCAACTCATTTCTACAGTTGGTGTCAGAAAAGTGCAGCTCAGTGATTGGAACAGGAAACTGTGTATCTGGTACGCAGAGTTCTGTGCCGTATCTGCCAGGGCTTGCTGAGCAACTCACCTCACTTTGCATCTACTGGCCTCAAGTTACCTTCCCGCTATTAGGGATAAGAATACTTTTATTCAATTTGGACAAACTGGATCTGAAGAGCTCAGCATTTTGCATCTGTCCCTTATAGTCACATGGGCAACTCTGACAATTAAGGCCAGAAGGCAGGAGAGCAGGAGGTGAGTGTCTGCATTTATGAGCAGTTCTCAGGGATGTGATTCGCAAAGTGGGGTCCCTGTACCAGAAACAGTGTCATCACCTCGGATATTGTTGGAGATGTAAATCCACAGGCACCGCCCAGACCGACTGTACCAGAAACTGGGGGCGTGGTCTAGTGATCTGTGGCTTAACAAACTCTCTAGGTGATTCTCATGCCTGATGAAGTTTGAGAAGCCCTGACTGCTCTAGGAAGTGTGGCTCCATCAAGCAGTGTTTACCGAGTATTAAGTTACTTAACAAATGGTTACTGGGATCATACTGTGTGCCCGCCAATGTGCTAGGCACTGTGGATTGGATAATGAACAAGACAGCCCTCATGGGGCTTATTGTTTGATAATTGATGCATTCAACAAGCAAACAGGTATAATGCTAGGAGTCAAAAACAGGTGCTTGGAGGGTGAATCACGCAAGGTGCCTTTTTAGGTAGGGCAGTCAGGGAAGACCACTCAGAGGAAGTGGCATGTATGCCTCAGCCATGCTGTCAGGAAAGCCAGGGAACATTGGCTGGAGGAAGGTGCAGTGTAGGGACCTTTGTGGCAGACAAAAATGAGACTTGAAGCTCAAAGCTGCAGGAGCCTCTCCACATCCTTCCTTGCTTTTTCTGAGACAGCTCTAGAGGAGGGGCGATGGCTCCCTGGCACGGGAGCTCTGTTTATCATCTAGCTGAGTGGAGATAGCATCATCATCATTTTCCAGGGGCCAGATATTTGCAATATTAAAAAAAGAAATCATGTGATTTGCTGACAGCACTTAATGGGTAATTCAAGGGGCCTTATTATTCCCATACATCATATCTGGATTGTGACAGGCAGCAAGCTCTCTGGCACAGAAGGAAAGTACATGTGCCTTCAGTTTGGGCTTTTTCCTTCCTTCCTGAGTGAAAACTGGCGGCTAAGATCCTATTGGATGGGTGGTCTCGAGTCTTCATCAGGGGCCACTTGGTGCTAAGTAATGCAGTTGAGGGGCCCTCTGAAGGTAGGGACTGACTCGCGGCTGACTGGCCCAAGGTCTCCTACCAAGAGAGCAGCCAGAGATAGCACTCCTACACTGCCGACCTCTGACCTAGCACGGGCAGGGCATGAGGTCTGCTTCTCTTCCTGCTGGAGTTGGTCAGAGGCTCTATTTTTTAGTTTTGAGATGAGGGCACATCTTCATTCCTGAGCAATATTTCTCTCTCTCTTTCTCTCTCTGTGTGTGTGTGTGTGTTGTGTGTGTGCACGCGCGTGCACCTCTGTGCATGTGTGCATTTTTAAGATCCATTTGGGCATCATTCTTCACCATTCTCGGACAGGCATTTGCTTCACCAGAACAGCATTTGGCAGATGAGAAGACAACTGTGGCATGAATGGATGGGGAATTGCTCGGAAGTCAAGGAGTGTGGGTCTTCAGAGCGGGAGCAGAGTCTACACCCCAGAGAAGACAGCAACCTTGTGGGCACTTGTCCTGTGTTGGTTGGGACTGCCTCATTATATTTGGAGACCTACACTGGGGGTTCCTCAGCTCTTGGAAGGGTGGCCTCGATGGCTAGGCGGCATATGCCTAGCACTGAACCTTGCACGCATTAGGCATCCAAAAAGCTTTGTTGTATGACTGCGTTCAATCACTTTTTTCAGGTCCGGGGTTATTATTTCTGACATATCAACCTTCCTATGCTATGTCTACCTGGCTAGGGTAGAGTATGGTGCAGGGCAAGGTAAAGCCCAGCGTGGGATGTTCACCTTTTGCTTACCCCTTCAAGGAACATCACAGACAGTGTTGTGGAGAAAGAGATCCCAGAAAGGATGCAGGAGCATGAATCTTTCCTGGACTGGCCCAGGGTTGTCCTGTCATTCACCTGTGCATCTTGTGCACCTTTATTTTCTCCTTGGAAAGCAAATATTGCCTTGTCTGTTTGTCTGCATCTGGTCTCAGGACACTGGGCAGCTAATCACATGGAGGCAACGAGGGGCTGGAACAATTGCCCCTCTCGATCACATAATTGGGAAACTCTGATTATGCCTGCCTTTCCTTTTAGCTCTTACTCATCCTAAAGGAGGCTAGGAAGGCCCATCTGTATAAGGCTACAGTAAGTTGGTGTGAGATGAAGTAAGTCTACACAGCATTATTCACAATAGCTAAAAAGTGGAAGCAACCCAGGTGTCTAGTGATGCACTGTTAGGGGAATGAATCAATAAGCGTGCAGAATTGTTATTCAGACGTTACAAAGAAGGAAACAGTGGCACATGCTACAACATGGATAAATCTTGAAGACATGCTCTATAAACTCGTCACAAAAGTGCAAACACTGTATTTTTCCACTTACATGAGGTATCTGGAATGGGCAAAATAAGAAAGACAGAAAGTAGAAAAGAAGTTACCAGGGACTGGAGGGAGGGGAGAATGGGGAGTTGTTTAGTGAGTGCGGAGTTTCTGTTTGGGAAGATGAAAAGATTCTGGAGATGGATAATGGGAATGTACTTAATGCCGCTGAACTGTACACTTAAACATGGTTACAATGGTACATTTTATGCTACGTTTATTTAATCACAATTTTTGAAAAAGTCTGCAGAGGCGAGACTTGGGAATATAGTTTGGTTGTGTCCCCACCCAAATCTCATATTGAATTGCAGCTCCCACAATCCCCACACATCATGGAAAAGACCTTGTGGGAGGTATTTGAATCATGGGGGTGGGTCTTTCCTTTCCCATGCTGTTCTTGTGGTAGTGAATAAGTCTCATAAGACCCGAAGGTTTTATAAAGGGCAGCTTCCCAGCACATGCTCTCTTGCCTGCCGCCAGGTAAGACATGCCTTTGGCCTTTGCTCCTCCTTCACCTTCCACCATGATTGTGAGGCCTCCCCAGCCATGTGGAACTGTGAGTCCATTAAATCTCTTTTTATTTATAAATTACAGTCTCAGGTATGTCTTTATTTGCAGTGTGAGAATAGACTAATACTTGGTGTTGCAGGTTGTGCCTTCTGGATGCAGATGCTGGCATGGTGTTTGGTCTGTGAGATGTTGTTAGGGATCAATACCTCTGAAAGGAAGAGGAGGAAGTAGGACTGAGAAGAGGCAGAAGCTGAACTGAGTTTGTCACTCAGGCCCCCAAAAGCTTCGGAAGCTTTGGAGCGTGAATTGCCTATCAGGACAAAATGACAAGGCCTCTGAAACCTGTGCCCCTCTCAGTCCCCTGATGTGGCTCAGTTGAAGCTGACCTTGAAAGAGCTGTCAGTTGTGGGGTGGGAAAGGGAGGATCTCTACTGACCACAGAAAGGGAGATCTCAGGGGCACTTTTCTACCACAGTGGGGACATAGGAGGTCAAAGAGTCCTATGCAGAAAGTCTAAGGTGTTGATGCCTTCATTTAACAGGTTGGTGCCTTTGATACCCTGTTGTGGGGTGAATTCACTTGCACTTCAGTGAGCAAGTCTAGAACCATCTTCTTCCAAGTCTCAGCCCACGCCCCTTGCAGCTTTCCTTGTCTGTCAGTGTTCAGATCACACATTTGGCTCAGTCTCTCAGCTGTGGGGTAATCAAACCCACCACACTACCTCGTGGAATTTCCAGGAAGATAAAATCAGGTACGTTAGCTTTATGCAAATACAATACTGTGAATGACTCAAAAGGAAAGACAGGATTATTCCTAGGTCAAATGGGGAATTGATAATACAGCTATAATAATAATTCAGGAATGAATGGATTTGAGTGCTAATTCCACAGGTGCCTCACTAGGAGTGTTTGAGCAGATCATGTTTTTTATATTCTTATGTCCCATGCATCTAATTTGCCACACGTTTGCTGAGCACGTGCTAAGTGCATAACACTCCATGGGATACAGAGAGGGAGACAGGAGGGTGCCAGCCCTGGAGAATATTCCTTCCCTTGCAGAGGCAAGACAAGCTAACAGCTGCATCAGGCAGCATCTGAGCAAGATGAGGGCAAAAGTGCTGGGCCCTGCATCAGCCTGAGCCCTCTGAAAAGCACTGCTTTCCCACGTTCCACTCAAGGGCCATGAACTGTCTATCGAGCAAACTTTTAATGAAAAATAACAGTTTAACCAAAAAGTCAATATCAATTTCTCTGCCCCAAGTCACAGAGCTTTTCAATCCTTCAGACTCCATCTGAGCATCTGTGCCCAGACGCTCAACCTACAAGACCAGCTGTCTCCTCTATAGACTCATTTCCAACCCACAGCAATTTGCCACCATCTATAAACAGGACCTTCCCAGACCCTCCCATAGAATAACAAAAAGGGACTGTGTGTTACCTAGGGTAAAACCGGGTGGCCTAAAACAGCAGAAATGTGTTTGTTGTCTCATAATTCTGGAGGCCAGAAGGTTGAAATAATGGTGTGGGCAGGGCCATGCTCTGGATTGCTGCTACTCCTTGGTGTTTTAGCACCTCATGACTCCAATCTTGCCTTCATCTTCACATGGAGTTCTTCTTGTGTCCCTGTATGTTCACATGACTGTTGATATGGTTTGGCTGTGTCCCCACCCAAATCTCATTTTGAATTGTAGCTCCCATAATCCCCACCTGTTGTGGGAGGGACCCAGTGAGAGGTAATTGAATCATGGGGTTTTCCCATGCTGTTCTCGTGACAGTGAATAAGTCTCATGAAATCTGATGTTTTATCGAGGAGAGTTCCCCTGCACATGCCCTCTTGCCTGCTGCCATGTAAGATAATGCTTTGCTCCTCCTTGCCTTCCACCATGATTGTGAGGTCTCCCCAGCCATGCAGAACTGTGAGTCAATTACATCTCTTTCCTTTACAAATTACCCAGTCTTGGGTATGTCTTTATTAGCAGCATGAAAATGGACTAATACCACTGTATTAGTATGCTTCAGTATGACCTTATCTTAACTAGTTACATCTGCAATAACCATATTTTCAAATAAATTCACCTTCTGTTGTACTGGGGAACAGGACTTCAGTGTATCTTTTTTAGGTAAGACATGATTCAAAACAGGAAGGCAGAAAATATATTAACTTTCTTGTAGACACAGGCCAGAGGTAGGTGGGTGTGTCTAACATGGGGGCGTTTTTCTGTGAGAGTGTGTATAAGGTACCCCATAGCTCCAAACTGATGGAACACCAGAATATGTAGACTTTGCAAAACATTCACATTGAACTATTATTCACATTTTTATTTTCAAAGCCGACTATTTAAGTACAATTGACCCTTTACCGAGACTAGCTTGGCCATAGAGATGCCCACCCAGGTGGCAATGAAGGAATTGAGAAGCAGACACCGAGATAGAATGGCAAAGTGGGAACTATCTGGGGGGCCAACAGTCTTCCAAGCTGAGGGCCTCCGGGGCTGACTACATTCTGGGCTGAGGGCCCTGAACAGCCTCTCACCCACATATTTATTCTTTTTAAACAGGTGATGATTATTAACAAACAGATGTTCAGTATCTTCTCATAACACAAAAATAACCCAGGTAGGCAGCTGGTGCCCACTTACCACTGATCACAGACAAACTAAAAAGTATTCTCCATGAGGGAGCCACGTGGGCAGGGTCACATATCCCGCACTTAAAGAATTGTTTTAACTGGTGTATGATATACATATAATGTTCTGTGACTTTAGGATGCCTGAAGTAGTTTTCCACTTGAGGGTGGGGCGTGGCTAGGTTTTCCTTGCCACTGTCCTTCCTAGTCAACAATATATTGTATCATACACTCAGCATTTCTCAGCAATCATACACTTAGCATTTCTCAACAGCCCTCAAACAACACAGGGTTTAGGGGTGCTGAACACCCCCATGCAGTTGAATATCCAAAAATAACTTTGATTCCCTAAAACCTTTACTACTAAAAGTCCACTGTTGACTGGAAACCTTACAAATCACATAAAGAACCGATTAACACATATTTTGTATGTTATATGTACTTTCTACAGTATTTTTACAATAAAGTAAGCTAGAGGAAAGACATTGTGATTAAGAAAACCTTAAGGAAGAGAAAATATATTCACTATTCGTTATCATAACATTTTTTTCCTTGTCATCTTCACGTTGAGGAACTGGGTTGGTCTTGCTGTCTCGGGATGGCAGAGTTGGAATAAAATTCACATCTAAGTGGTCCTGTGCAGTTTAAACCCATGTTGTTCAAGCTCCACTGTAAAAGCATATGTTGATGATGGCCTCAGGCACAGCTGGGGCATTCTTGCCTTTCAGACGAGGATGCTAAATGTAGCAAACACTTTATTGAGGGAAGGCCATAATTAAGAAACACTGTCCCAAGAACTGAGCTGTGAAAAGGAGCAGATGTAATGGGTTCATTCCTTTTGACCTGCTGTGGGTATTTGCTGGCATTTTTTTTTTTAGCAGCATAAGCTCTTACCTATCTAAGCTTGTGATTATGTCTGTGTATTAGTCCGTTTTCATGCTGCTGATAAAGACATACCTGAGATCGGGAAATTTACAAAAAAAAAAAGAAGTTGAATGGACTCACAGTTCTACATAGCTGGGAAGGCCTCACAATCATGGCAGAAGACAAAAGGCACCTCTCACATGATGATAGACGAGAGAAGAGATTCTGTGCAGGGGAACGTACCCTAATAAAAACATCAGATAGCATGGGACTTATTCACTATCACAAGAACAGCACAGGAAAGACCTGCCCCCATGATTCAATGACCTCCTACTGGGTGCCTCTCATAACATATGGGAATTGTGGGAGTTACAATTCAAGATAAGATTTGGGTGGGGACACAGCCAAACCATATGAGTGTGTGTGCATATGTTATGTGTATGTTAGCACATTGGTATTATTCATTCCCATCTCTACTTGTTGTTGGTGTGTGAGGTGTGAGAGGGGTACATAGGGAAGATGCCATGCATTTGAAAGCTCTCTCCAAAACAATGAATGTCAAAAACTACATGGAGGCCGGTGGGCATTCTGTCCCTCGCAGAAGGAGACACACAATGGTGACGTGCAGAGTGGTGCTGACTGTGCCCCTGGCCATACCCCTGAGCCTGGCATGAGCAGATCTCTTACCTGGCTGCTGCTCCCTGGGAAATGCCTTCCCTGTTCCCAGGAGATGCCCTGACTCAAGGGCAGTTTCTAGAGTGGAACTTTCTGCTGCTTCCTAAAGTTTTTCTGGGCTGCCCTAGTTGCTAAGCAATGCTGATGCTCACCAGAGGGGCTGCTCCTGCTCTGGGCGAGGGTTCACTATCCCATCTGCAATTTAAATTCCCTGACAGGCAGAGGCAGCAGAGCTGTTCACTGGAGACTGCAAAAAGTTAGATTGAAATACAGGGAATATCCAATGCCTGGAGCCCTTCATAACTTTTCCTTTGATAATAACTGGGAGAGAGATGAAGAAGAGGGAGTAAGAAGGCACCAGAGAGGGGAGAGCATTACAATTTAGACCTACACACTGAATTTACCTTTGATCAGTGTTCCCCACTCCACCTGTGCCCCAGTGTGTGCCCATTCTCAATCCTCTCTCTGGACTCTCTGGCTCTTTCCATTCATCTCCCTTATCCCGCCTTGTTAGTGAGCTTCTGAGCATCTCTTTTTTTTCCCCCCTTTTTTAGAGACAGAGTCTTGCTCCATCACCAGGCACCAGGCTGGAGTGCAGTGGCACGATCTCGGCTCACTGCACGATCTCGGCTCACTGCAACCTCCGCCTCCCGGGTTCAAGCAATTCTCCTGCCTCAGCCTCCCAAGTAGCTGGGTTCACAGGCACGTGCCACCACACCCAGCTAATTTTTGTATTTTTAGTAGAGACGGGGTTTCACCATGTTGACCAGGATGGTCTCAATCTCTTGACCTCATGATCCACCCACCTCGGCCTCCCACAGTGCTAGGATTACAGGGGTGAGCCACTGTGCCCAACTGACACCACTCTTAAGTCATTGGGCATTCCCCATTCTGCCAAGGAGAAAGACTGACACAGCTGGGCTCAGGACCTTGTAGTCTAAGGCAGACAACTGTGACCAAGACTGGCTCATAGAGACAATGGTTGTTCCCACTGACACACCACCCTTGGCCCCGCCTGGTGGCCTGAGGACATGAGAACCTGACCTTGAGGAAAGCACACATGGTTCCTGCCTTCCAGGAGCCTTCAGCCTTCAACTGCATCATCTGTACCTAATGTGCTGTTAAGATTAGGGTTGACAGACCAAAGTACAAAGATCTTGGGTGTGGAAGGACGAGTGAAATGAGGCCATTTCACACTTACTAGTGGGGCTAGAGTCACGGGGTCTATAATCAAGAAACAGAAGATAACAGGTGTTAGTGAAGACATGGAGAATTTGGAGCCCCCATACCATGCTGGTGGGAATACAAAATGGTGCAATCTCTGTCAATAGTTTGGCAGGTCTTCAAAAAAGTAAACACAAAATTACCATGGGATCTGGCAATTCTACTGCTAGGTAGATCCTGAAAAAAATTGAAGGCAGGGATATTTACACATCAATGTTCATAGCAGCACTACGCACAAGAGCCAAGAGGTCGAAGCAACCCATGTGTCCATTGATGGATGAATGGATAGTAAACTGTGGTATATCCATACAATGGAATATTATTTAGTCATAAAAAGAAAGTAAATTTTTATGTATGCTACAG